GGGATGGGGGTGGGGTGGGTAGGGCCCCTCCCTCCGGGGGGCCACTTTGCCAGCGCAGGGCCCGGAACTGTGTGCTCCGAGCGCCTTTCTGATTTTGTGAGGTGTCATGGCTGCTGTCCCCACGACTTCTAATCACTGCAGAGACTAGGTCCTGGAATACAGAGGGATTTCCCTAGCATGCGGAGCAGACACGGGCCTCTTCCCTGCGCAGAGCCCCCTGGAGCCCAGCCGTCTGCTCCGGACGCCGCCGCCTCCTGCAGTCCAAATCCGCGCTGTCGTGGCGGTCTGGCCAGCACACCAGCCCCTACGTAATTCCAAAGGGGAAATTCCGAACCAGTTTTCTCCTCTGTCAAAACCGGGATAACTCCTGTAACTCAGCACGCGCAAGGCCCTAGGTTCAATCCCCAGCGAGGGAGGCAGGGATCTTGACGCAGTGAACCTCAGAAGCAAATGTCAACACCCTGGGATTGCTTAAATACGACCTAGCCCCCCACCCAATATAACGGAACACTGCATATTCAACGTTAAAAATGTGGGCCGGATGTGGCTGACATAGCTAGGCTGGCCCTCAATTTTACAGGGTTAACATACCGGGAATGGAGAGTTTAGAAAAAAGATCAGTCTTCTAGACTATAAAACTAAGATAACACCCAGTAGTCAGCAGAGATACCCACAAAGTTGAACCGGAAAAGATAATTAAAAACAGACAACTGAGGTGGTGGTGCATGCCTGCAGTGCCAGCACTTGGGAGGATGAGGCAGGACCACGGCAAGTTCCAGGGAAGCCTGAAGCTGCACAGAGTTCAGTATCAGCCTGAACTGCATAACAAGTCCCTGTCTCAATCCTTCCACCACCCCCCAAAAGAAAGTACAGACCCTAATTGGGAATGTTCCCAGATGATAAGGGGCAAATTGCAGGTGGCCAGGGACAATGCATGTACAGACACTAAAACAACCATGGTTACCTTCACTTTCCGAGCACAGGGAAAATCACACTCCATGGAGGAGACCTGAGATGGTGAGGAGATGTGCATTGCACAGAGGCTGATAGAAAACACAGTCGGCTGGGCCTGATGGTGCCTGCCTGTAATCCCAGCACTTGGGGGTGAGGCGCTGCTAAGGCAGGATCGAAAGCTTGAGCCCGGCCAGGGCAATTAGCAAGACCCTATCTCAGAATTGTAAAAGAAAAAGAAAGAATGGAAGAAAAAAGAATTTCTCTAAAGGTTTGAGGATGTAGCTCAGTGCAGAAGCCTTGATTCAGTCCTCAGTACCACAGAAAAAATAGCATTGTCCTCTCTGCTCCTCCCTGCACACTCCAGCCCCGCCCCCAGTGGTCACCACTGGAAATGTTTTTGTTACTTTAGCATGGTCCACAATCATCAATATTAGACATCTTTTGACTTATTCGATTTTACTTTTCTTTTTCTTGCAACGCATAGGGTCTGACCTGTGTTTTACAAGATACAGACTCCTGCTATGTAGCTCAGGCTGACCTAGCACTCATGGTGATCCTCCTATCTCAGCCTCCTGAGTGCGAATGACAGGCGTGCTCCAGCACACCTGGCTCTTTCCTTTCTCCTTTCCGTCTTTCCTGCCTTCTGCTATGGGACAGTGTAGAGGCAAAGTCCTTTCCAGGCTCTTGCTGTCCCGTTCAAAGAATTGGCCCAGACAACGGATGAAGATGGAAATTCAACATTGATTTAAGGTTAGGAGAGAGAGAGAGGGAAAAGGGCTGAAGAATAAGTGCTCTAAAGACATGCTCCACCAGTAGGATGCGCCACTGGAAGAACAAGAGGGCAGGGGTGGCCAAATCAGCGCCTAGTCTTCCATTTCTTCTTTTGACGTCAGTCCGGGGGTGGGAAGCTATTCTGTGTGCGTCCCAGTTGTGATTTGACAGCTCTCTGTGATTGACAGGTCACGCCCTATTTCCCAGCCTCTTTGCCACGCCCCAATCTCCTGCCTCCCTCCCTCCCTCCCTCCCGCCAGGGATTTGAACCCAGGGCTCTCACATGCTATACACCAGCTCCGTCCCCAGCCCCTTCTTTTACTTTTTTCTATTCTTTCTTCCTGGAATTTAGACACTGAACTTGTTTCCCCAACACACTCTCTCTCCATACCCCCTCGGCCCCGTGCTTGGGCTTGAACTCTCCATCTCCATTACCCAGTCACTCCATGGCATCCTTGGAAGGGGTCGGTTCCAGCCCCCAGCCCCGACAATGAACCCCAGCAGCCCAAGTCCTTTATATAAAATGACAGTATTTGCATAGAACCTATGCACATCCTAATGTAGATATTAAATCCCTAGATGACTCAAAACCTAATACAATGTAAATCTGTGTAAATAGCTGTTATACTGAGTTGTTCTGGCACTAATGCCCCACTCCCATGTCTGTAGTCTTCACTACAGATGCAGGATCTTTTCCAAATATTTTCAGCCTGAACTTGGTCGAATCCTGGAGTGCGAACCCCACAGATGCGTGCCGGGCGCGGTGGCCCACACCTGACCTAGGGCAGCCTGGGCTACAGAGCGAGGCCGTCTCAAGACAGTCAAGGTTTTCCTTTCCTCGCTCCTTCCCCCTTCCTTCCTTGAGGGAGACTATCTGTTCCAGTTTCAGGGATACAGTTGTCATCTCTTATCTCTCCCATAGTCTTTGGGGCTTATTAAAAGTGATGGTTCTGTTTTTCTCCCTCTCGGTCTGTTTTGAATTTGTCACACTGGAAGCTCTGCAGAAGCCTGGAAGGAGCCATCAGGACCACAACAGGACCATGATGGGACCCGCGCATCTGTCTCAGTCGGAGGAGGGCTGCCCGGGAAGAGGGAATACAACCCTCATGATTCGGGATAATTAACACATTTGCGCACTTGTGCAGAGCTGGGTTGGAAGCCATGGCCTTTGTGCTGAGCTACATCCACAGTGCCCTGTTTTATACTTTTTTTTTTTTTTGAGGCAAGGTTTGGCTTGAACTTTTGATCCTCCTGCTTCAGCCTTCCAGAGGGCTGGGATTACAGGCCTGTGCCACCACGCCAACTAAAATTTACTTCTTAGGGCTGCCCTGGAGTGAGTCAAGATAGATAGAAACAAGCCGGGTGTGGTGGCGCACGCCTGTAATCCCAGCACTCGGGAGGCTGAGGCAGGAAGATCGCTGTGAGTTCGAGACCAGCCTGAGCTACATAGTGAGTTGCAGGTCAGACTCAACTACAGAGTAAGACCCTGTCTCGAAAACCCAAAAAAAAAAAAAAAAAGATAGAAACAACTTGAAAAGATGTTTGACACAGTGTTTGCCAATGGTTTTCTCACTCTGTTTTATAGAGGTATAATTTACATAAAGCTCTCTTTTTAGCATTCAGCCCCAGGAGTTTGACAAGGCAAGTGACACCCCACTGGGGAGCAGTTCCCACAACATCCACCCCAGCCCCAGGAAACTACTGTTCTGTATCTTGTTTTGCCTCTTCCAGAATGCTTCTAGATGGAATCACTCAAGGATGGGGGTGTGACTCAGTGGTAGAGACTCTGTTTAGCAGTCAGTCATGATGGCCCAAATATTCCTATAATTGTAACTACTTGGGAGGCTGAGGCAGGAGGATCCCAAGATTGAGACCAGCCAGAGCAATTTAACAAGACCACCAAAAAATAAAATAAAAATGGCTGAATATGTAACCTAGTGACAGAGTGCTTGCCTAACATGCAGAAAACTCTAGGTTGTTTCCTGAATAAGAAAAAAATAAAGTGGTACGGTAGTAGACTATAATCATAGCTACTTGGGAAGCTGAGGCAGGAGGATGGCTTAAGCTCACAAGAGGCAACATAAAAAGAAAAAGCTGTCTCAGTAAATAAATCAATAAGCCAGGTAGAGGGGCACATGCCTATTATTACAGTACTGGGGAGGCTGAGGCAGGAGGATCTTGACTTCCAGGCCAGCCTGGATTATACAGAGAGACCCCATCTCAAAATACATACAAAGATAAATAAATGCAATCATTTAATAAGTGGCCTTGAGTCTGGCTTCTTTCACTTAGCATAATGGATCTAACGTGTTTCCCTGTAGTATGTCTCTGAGGTTCTTTTTTTTTTTTTTTTTTTTTTTTTTTTTTTTTTTTTTGGTTTTTTTGAGACAGGGTTTCACTGGGTAGTTGAGACTGACCTGGAACTCACTATGTAGCCCAGGCTGGTCTCTCACTTACAGTAATCCCCCTGCCTCAGCCTCCCAAGTGCTGGGATTACAAGCATGCGCCACCACACCCAACTCTGAGGTTCTTTTTTACTGCTGTATAGTATTTCTCCTTTCTTTTTGGTGGTGGTGGAACTGGGAATTGAACCCAGGGCTTTTGCACTGAGCTACACCCCCAGCTCTTTTTATTGTTTCCTTTTTTAAAATTTAAGACAGGCCCAGAGATTTAGCTCAGTGGCACCAGCACCTGCCTGGCAAGTGTAAGTTCCTGAGTTCGATCCCTGG